TAAAACAACAAACAAACAAAAAATGTTAAGCTATTAATAACCCAGGTTAACAGCTCTTCACGCCTACCCTTCAATCATTCGGTTTGAATTTGTCTTCAGCAACCTGTGAATTGTCGAAAGAGGCGATTAACGGAATCGGGTGGTCAGGCTCGATGTCTTGGTTGACACATGTCATCGTATCCCAATTGCGCAGATCGATGCTTATGCTGTTGATCACTGGTGCGTCTTGTCCAGAATCGATTATCAAAGAAAGACACTGCCATATAGCTTGAATACTGCTGAATGCGGCGTTAAGCAACAAACAAAAAACGCCTGCACGTCCGCACTACTAAGAAAGCGTATTGGAATGAGACGGATGCGATTCAAGTGTACGGACATAACACAAATTCTCGTACTAGCCTATGTTACTGATTGTACAATGGTTTTATTTATCGCGTATGACCTGTCTATATCCTGTTGTGTGAGTTGGGTTTTACGCCGCTTTTAGCAATATTCCAGCAATATCACGACGGGGGACACCAGAAATGGGCTTCACACATTGTACCCATGTGGGGAATCGAACCAGGGTCTTCAGCGTCACGACCGAACGCCTTACCCACTTGGCTACCCCAGCGCTCCATATCCTGTTGAATACATCTGAGATATGACATTACCACACTGGTACTGTAATGGGTTTGTTCTGGGCTCCATCCTGAAGAATATAGAGATGAAAACAAAACATACCTAAGCCTTAAAGGTGACGACACATCTCTGAAAAGCCCCAGGTTAAGGTTAGTGAGTGAGTGAATATGGTTTTACGCCGCTTTTAGCAATATTCCAGCAATATCACGGCGGGGGACAGCTGAAATGGGTTCACACATTGTACCCATGTGGGAATCGAACCCAGGTCTTCGGTGTGAGTTAAGGTTAGTACAGCGTTCAGACTCATTTCCTTTTCAGCTACAGTGGTTTCCAAAATACCCAAGGGTTTAGGATCTTTAATAGAATTAATTTGATTGACATCAACCTTGTACGTAGCTTTATTTCGGGAAGTATTCATTCTTGGGCAAATATCATAATCAATGATTAGGGTTTTTTTCAGGAGCAAGATGAATTGAGTAAAAAATATCAAAACAGATCTGTGTAATGTAGCTTAGCAATGTATTAGATAATACATGGATCTGTAGTGCAGGATTACTACAGAGACCATATGTTCTATCGGAGGGTATCGGAAAAGAACTCGCAACTGCGCTAGTACGACCTGGGTTGAAGATCAATTTCTACAACGTTAAATCGCGGAAACAAATTTGGCGTAATACCGCTCGCAAGCACACATGCACACATACAACGTGTCCGTTACCATTTTGTACGCTCATAGGGGCCTCGTCGTCGTGTAGGAAGATTTCCGCGTTCACGCAGGTGAAAGAAGACTTTTCCTGGCTCTTCCAAACCAGGTGGTGGACTGAATGTTTCGACAGTTTGTGTGTATATTTCTAATTTCGATTTCTATCACACATTTTGTTGGCATGACAATGGGGCACGTGACTTGCATTTCATCGAGTAATGACGCATGACCTGAATTTAATATATTTATAATTGTCATAAAATACGACGTGTTTCGCATAGTTCTCGTTATTAACACGTGTGCGTCTAACAAATGATATCCCTGCTGCATATCGCTGCACATATTTCCATTTAATGGCAGGTCATTTCTGAGCGTCACCAATATGGACGAGGGCCCTTAACCACCAGCAGTCAAATTACATGAAGTATGACTTGTCAGTTACTACTCAATGAGAACATATTATACAGGTGTCTCATGTCATATGTTGCTTTCCAGCAATGCCATCAATAAATTACATAACATGTCACGGCAAGTTACCGATCAAGGAAACAAGGGGTTGATATCATGAACAATTGTTCTACGCCTTTGTGTCAATGGAATCGTCTGAAGCACAACAATACCATACACACACATCATACATATAAACAGGTAGAACCACAAACGTGCTGCATATTGTGTAATGCCGCATAGCATATCAGGGCGACATGAAGATCAGGGAAACCAGTGGTTAATATTATGAACACACGCTCTGCGCCGCTGTGTTCTTGTTTATTTGTTTGGTTGTTTTGTGCGTGTATGTGTGAGGGAGAGAGAGAGGTGAGGTGAGGTGAAATTGGGTTTAACGTCGTGCTTGAGAATATTTTGCTCATATGACGACGTGCATGCGTGTGTATGTGCGGCTGCTTGTACTAGCCCAGACTTAAGCTGGTTATATAGTGCTAGCCCACTGAGATACCATGCCGCAGTGAAGCATGAATACCCCACTCAGACACATTATACTGACTCCGAGCGGACCAGTCCTTGTTGTACCCATTAATGCCGAGCGCCAGGCAGGGACCAACAAGTACCATATTTTAACGTCTTTTGGTATGAAGCGGTCGGGGATCGAACCCGCGACGCTCTAACCACTACACCACGGAGGCGGAGAGAGAGAGAGAGTCCTTACCTGTACTTATATACAGGTAAGGTAACACCTTGTAACCTACTTTTAGTCGGTAAATAGGTCACGAAATCCAGCGACCTATTTTAACCCCAAATGTCTTTCATTGTCGTGATTTGCTTGAATGAATCGTCTTATACCCGTGATACGCCTACACATAAATATCTACCCCAAAAGCAAACATACCGACAGAAGGCCTAACACTAAATTAACTAAAGATCCATCCACCCTTTCAAGTGACATTTGTTGAGCATTCTATTTTTTAGGTCAGTTATAAATAAGGTTTTAAGAGAACATTTACAACACACTTCAAACTTACTGAGACACGTATGTATTTACGACATGTTGTTATCAAAGTATTTTACCACATGTAATACACGGAACTTCAAGATTTATTGTTGACCACTATAAACACATGATAAGATTCAAATCTCTGCGGCAGCCTGTGGATTGTGCAGATACGTATGAGCGCAGGTCATGTGACGGCCTGTCCTGTTTGAATTAAACACTTGACCGTTTAACTTTCAAGATCCTGGCAACTCCGGCTTTTCAACTGTCGTGGTGGCAATATATATCTTAGCGTTCAGGGGGCTATTTCATGTGAGCTGGTCTTGTAAATTGTATGTTCGTTATTTATGTGTATGTGGTGAGAGACACGAGTATCCATGTGCCGATCAAAACGGTTACCAGTTTTGGTAGATGATAAGAGCTGACTTTGTGTGGTTGGTTTTGCTTGTTGTTGAACGCCGCGCTCAGCGATATTCCAGCTATATGACGGCGGTCTGTAATCGAGTCTCGACCAGACAATCCAGTGACTGACATAATGAACATCGTGTAAGGTTTTCGGGCTATGATTACATTTAGTAAAACTTGTTCAGGGCCCCGTTCCCCGTAGCGCTACGACTGTCGTAAGTTTATGATAAAGTATGGGAGTTACGATCATCATAGTGCTACGACAGTCGTAAGTCTATGTTAAAGTATGGGAGTTATGATCATCTAAGTGCTGCGATCTTTTTGTGGAAGGGGGCCCTGATGACTTCTCCCTCTCTATCTCTCACACACACACTCTCTTTCTATCTCTCATGCACACACTATCTTCCCACCCCAACCCCACCCATCTCTCTGCGCTCTCTCTCTCTCTCTCTCTCTCTCTCTCTCTCTCTCTCTCTCTCTTTTTTTTTTCTTCTCACACACATAGATATACACATGATTACAATCATTATTATTTATATCGTGATAACATATTTGGAGATTTCACGTTTTGGAGCATGACGCTGATGATTGTAGATAACACACTGTTACTAGGTGCCGTTCCATACCATTATGATGAGGATGTGTGTGGGCATGGTGTCAATGTTAGATTTTGATGACAAGGTGAGATGTATCGAGTGATGACGATGATCACGGGGTACCAGAATAACGACATACAAAGATCCTTATGTATATTTGTCGCTGAGACAATGTGACTGTGATTATTTCAAATCCTTACCTTTATCGTATATGTTTACATGAGTTTGATAAAGCAAATTGTGATGTACGGGACTAAGGCATATGTTTGTGATTTTGTCATACGCTTGAAATGGGTTCCGAGTATGACTATACCATTAGCCATTTACAAAATCTCTCTGCCCGGCCCTCGGCAATCACCTCATAAAACAACACCTTGTCAACTCGGAGTCATTATAATGTACCTAATTGGGGAGTCAATGTTAAACTATGTCATGGTATCTTAGTGGGTTAGCGCCATTAAACAGGCTCAGTGTCTGGCACAGCTGGGCGGTGGGGTAGCCTAATGGTTAAAGCGTTGGCTCGTCACGCCGAAGACCCGGGTTCGATTCCCCACATGGGTACAATGTGTGAAGCCCATTTCCGGTGTCCCCCGCCGTGATGTTGCTGGAATATTGCTAAAAGCGGCGTAAAACCAAACTCAGTCAGTCAGTCAGTCTGGTACAGCCAACACAAACACGAGCATGTATATAGTCTGTCTCAGTCCCTGAACCGCACTATTTCCCCTTCTACCTACCCCTTTCTTCAATGTTAAAGCCCCAAATGAAGCAAGTCCAGATTCTGTCTCAGGTTCTGAATCTCCCTGCTCCCTGATTGTTTGCTTCTATCAATATTATATACATTCAGAGACTAAGCCTTAGTCCAGCATGGATACTGCTTTCTACACGTGCGATAATCTTGCAAGCAACGTTCAACACGATATCACCTCATCCGTAGTAAGCCAGTAACGGGACACAATTGTCAGCTATATCTCGCTAAGCTCTACTAACTCGGTCAACATATTATAATATATCACATAGCATTGTTAAAGGATAAGGAGAAATACTTAACAATAGTGTCAATTAAGGCTCGACTATAGTGGTTACCGTCAACATTCACTGACAGCACGAGTGTTCAATTATTTCGTCGTATTAACTCGTCACAAGAAGGCATCAAAATAACTAACCGTATTGATCGGCTATTGATTCAAAGCCTACATTAAAAGGATTAATAAAAACACTGCTCACTCACCGTGACCGTCTCCAGAAGGAATGTAAACAGAATCGCAGTTGGAAGCATGAGAGGAGGTCAAAATGGCAAAATATAGAGAACCTGGATCCAATTCGCGTGACGAGACCTCAACTGGAAATCTGTCCTAAAAAGTCCAGTGATAATGTTCTCCACGATGACAAAACAATAAAAAAGGAATTTTCTAGACTCGCTCTGTTTACTTTGATCCCACACAGCTTGCCGTCTGCTCCAAATGACGAAACAAAAGTGTCGTCTGCTCCTCAGTGAAAGTTGCCTCTCCGTCTGCCTGCACTGACACTGTCAAGATAAACGTGTTGCACATCCACAAAAATAGTCGACAACAACGTGTTTACACCATTGTCGTGTGCTTGTGACGTTTTCACTGTTCACATGCTAATTTAGGACGAGTGAATCAGGGCACCATTTCTGTCGAAATTCAGGTCAGGATCTGGAGTGAAGGAGCTTTCGTAGTCAGCTGGAACACATATGGACGGTTACTGTGGCAGTGCCTCGCAGCGTTCGGGTTCACAGGTACACGCGGCAACAGGACTGTCCGACACTAACCGTAAATCCCTCGTTATACGGCGCCCTTCGGATATACGCCCAGCTTTATCAGCTGCGGGACTTCTTGACTATAATCTCGTCGGTCACGTGGTTATTTAACAGAAGACATGCCAAAACACTGGTCGTATCCCTTCCTTTTGATAGCTGTCTTGATAGCCACGGTTCAAAGGTTGATCAACGTGTGTGTGTTGTTCGGCTGACGAGACGTATATTCATTTTGAGACTACTGCGAAATTCGGAGAGCTTCTCGGTCAACCGCGGAACTTCGTCAAATGAACGTTAAATGAGCCGTTTTCAAGCTGGGTATTGAATGTAATTATCGGAGGCATTCATACAACGATTATGCGTAAATAATGGTGTTTGTGTGAAACCTGTGCAGGGATGTAACCACGAGTTTCGTCCTGTAGAAGAATTCAATGTGCAATTATCAACAGACTTTAAAATCAATAGTGCTCACAAAGCTTTGTTTATTTTCCTACATTGCTTGCCAGGAACATCCCCGCCCCTCCATCCACCATCCGCACCCAGCCTCTCAGTAAGGGCATCATATTTTGTATGTGTTTCACGTAGCCAGCAAATTCTGAACATGGGTCGGTCGGGGGAAAAAACAAAACAGAAAAAAACCTTAATAAAGACAAAATTATCTGAATAATGTTCTTGATTCTCGTTTGTTTTTAATTCTTATTACAATTTCTTGCATTCTTTGGACTTGTGGGAGCGACTGACCAAAAGATAAACATTTTATATGACGAGGCGGTACGTTTTAGGTTCGAGTCGGCGGTGTTGGAATGAACAAAAAGTTTTTGGGGGGATCGGCAATAAAATTAGAAGGGTCGGTCGGGCGATGAGAAACACAGAAAATATAAATGCTGCCCTAACATGAGAAAAAATACGTATCGATATAGCTGATCGCGGGTTCTCATTTTCCGATCTTAATCACAAACTTTTGCATGTTTGTGTCGATATCCTGATTTTTATAGTCATTAAATAATAATTACTGTTCTGTACAAGAGTTTAATTGCATTCACGCTGTGAGACGGGATGGTTTGATTTTGTTTGTGTTGAATGATGTTTATATGCGTTATTTATAACTATTGTTGACTGCTGTCTCTATGATGATGTTTGACCTTAGTGACTGTGTGCCTCCAGCCATCAATGGACCATTAAGGCACCTGTTGTTCGGACAATAATATCATATACTTCCCTCGCTATAAGGTCTGTAATTTTTCAAGCATGTCAAACGGCGTTGGAAGGTCTTTTTGATCGAGTATGGTGCTTGAGTGAATGAGTGGGTGGGTGCTTGACTGAGTGAATGTGTGTGTGAGAGAGAGAGAGAGAATGAGTGAGTGAATGGTGGGTGGTTTAGTGAGTGAACGTGAGGGCGATTACTTGAATGAGTGGGTGAGTGCTTGACTGGATGAACGTGTGTGTGTGTGGTAGTGAGTGAATGGGTGGTTGATTGAGTGAGTGAGTGAATGAATGGGTGGGTGGTGTGAGTGAGTGTGTGAGTGAATGTGGATGGGTGCTTGTGTGAGTGAATGAGTGGGTGCTTGAGTTAGTGGATGTGTGAATGTGTGCTTCAGTGTTTGTGTTTTGTTTGTTTGTTGTTTAACGCCGGACTCCAGGCGTATGACGATGGTCTGTAAATAATCGAGTCTGGACAGAAAATCCAGTGATCAACAGCGAGAGCATCGATCTACGCAATTGAGAATACAACGACATGCATCAACCAAGTCAGAAGTCACCACCCGATCCCGTTGGTCGACCACCAAGGATGGGTTGCTGAATATTTTAACCCGGATCTTCACGAGTATGATAGAATGAGTGAGTGAGTGAATACACAAGTCGTCTAAGCCTCTTGGGTAAACCAGTCACGGTTTTTTCCACACATTTCAGCCTTTAAAGAATCTCGGCGGGGGATGCCAATTGCTTCACACATTGCTACCATGTGGGGAATCGGCATATTCGCCATGGCGTTGAAACCTGCTCTCCGTTAAGTTAACCGCTCACGTATTCAACACCACCGTCAACGACACTTACTTACACCATTCAGATTAGTGAGTGAGTGAGTTGGGTCTTACGCCACTGGCATTGCATACTAGAACATTACGGATGCTGAAGGTAATTGAGCCATGGTTCACACAGAAAGTTGGTTTGGTAGACTGTCAGTTTTACCTGAAGTCATGGCGATGCATACTATAAGAAAGTTCTTGTAAAGCATGTATTTCGGTATTGTCAGCCATTACGTTCATTGTCGAGGTGAGTGAGTGAGTAAGGTTTCGTGTCGTTGTTAGCAATATTTCAGCAATATCATGACGGGGGACACCAGAAATGGGCTTCACACATTGTACCCATGTGGGGAATCGAACCCGGGCCTTCGGCGTAACAAGCGAACGCTTTAACCACTAGGCTACCCCGCAACCCTTTTAAATTAGTGACGAACCGTATTGAAGTGGGTCGTGATGTGATAAATAACCCGGGGTGACTCATGTGGACCTTTTATCACTTAAGGAAACCCGCAAGCATGGGCATTGTGTTGATCAACCGGGATAGTCCTTAGGCGTGAATACTCTAATGTATGGTTTGTTTGTTTGTGTGCCGATGACGTCGACCCTCTCCGTGAAGCCCACTTGTGGTGGCCCTCGCTGTGATAATACTGAAATAGCGCTAATTGCGGCATAAAACCACACTCAGTCAAGTTATTTCATACAAAAGCAGAAATGCTTCCACACAATGCCCCGACTAACGGGATCGGATGGTCAGGCTCGCTGACTTGGTTGACACATGTCATCGTATCCCAGTTGCATAGATCGGTGCTCCTTATGTTGATCACTGGATTATTTACAGACCGCCGCCATATAGCCGGGATATTGCTGAGTGCAGCGTTAGACAAAAACAACAAGAAGAAACAAACAAAAACATCAGACGTGTGGGTAAATTCACGCTGTCAAACTATCAGCTCTTCATGGATTAGTCTAAGGCGGAGTGGAAAACATCGATTAAAATGTTTGACAGTATAAGTATTGTATATATGTTCCTGGTGTTGGAAAGCATGTTTCTGGTAATGGTATTTTAGTACATAGTGGTAGATCAAATATTTATGTGGATTATTACGTAGGGTTCATTAGCTATTGGTGTAACTTACCCATTTGACACAAAATGAACTGTAATCACATTTTTAAAATAATTCTTAGTGACTGGTCATATATTTATAGGGGTGAGTTTGCTGGCTGGAACTGTATGACATTTTAAGCGCCTTTGAGCAGCTGAGCTGAGCTGGATATCGGCGCTATACAAATGTTAGTATGTTGTATGTATGTATGTATGTATGTATGTATGTATGTATGTATGTATGTATGTATGTATGTATGTGTGTGTGTGTGTGTGTATGTGTGTGTGTATGTATGTATGTATGTATGTATGTATGTATGTATGTATGTATGTATGTATGTATGTATGTATGTATGTATGTATGTATGTATGTATGTATGTATGTATGTATGGTATGTATGTATGTATGGTATGTATGTATGTATGTATGTGTATGTATGTATGTATGTGTGTGTGTGTGTGTGTGTGTGTGTGTGTGTGTGTGTGTGTGTGTGTGTGTGTGTGTGTGTGTGTGTATGTATGTATGTATGTATGTATGTATGTATTTTGCTGACAAATAGTAATCTTGTGAAATGATATGGTCTATTTTAAATATATTTTGACCTGAAGCGGTGCCTCCGTTTCGCTTGATTCTTCTTCTTCATCTTCAGTGGAAGATTGTCTTGCAAGATGTAAAATCGGATCGTATTGATACGGTCTAACATCCATTTCAGAAATGACACCAGGAACATCTTTTACTGCTTCAGAATCCACGGACACTGTTAAGTTGTGAGGTAAAATCAAAGAGGAAGCCATCAGCAACAGGCACATGTGACGTCATGTCACGTGATACCCCCTCTGCTCATTAACTGTCGGGTGTTTCCGTAATAGGCGGAAATACGAATACGTTTTTGTGTTTTTATTGCTATTTTACAAACTTTTTGTTCAATGTTAATGACGGAATGTGACTTTTAGATTATCCTTTACAATATATCTAAAGTTTTGTTTTCGTTCGTATTCTCCTTTAAAGGATGTCCGAGAATCGTTATCCAAAACAGTCTTACTTACTTATGAAGAAATTAGATTCAGCCTCGGCGACATCGGTTAAATATTTTTTACGTTCCTATGGTTTCGGATTTGTACCACACAGTCAGGTTCTTGTCGATACTTCCCTTTTTCAAAATAGACTTCTTGATTGTGATAAACAACGTATTCTTGATAAAATAAGTAAATCGCCCAATCTAAGATATTTTAAAGAAGTTAAATCATTGTTAAATATTGAATATAATCTTACTTCCATTAATTACATAGCAATTAGGAGAAATATATGTTTACTTAGATTACATTGAGATGTAGTATTAGAGGTATTAGTTGAGATGAGATGTGTAAAATACGTGACTACGGTTCGAATGAAGATGTAAGTCACTTCAAGTTGGAATGTTCAGCATGTGATTTCATTAGAGATAAGTATTGTCCTCATTGTACAGGACAGCATACTGAATGAATATCCTCATTTCATTAGCAGCAATTGCACCATACACTTTTTAACGGTTATAAATGATTATATTAAAGAAGCTCTTGCTGTTAAAAATTCTGTTACATTTTCTGAAGTAAGTTATGTGTATTTATTCTCTGTATAATTTGCTACTCTTTATATCGTAAACTGTTTTCTTATTGTACATGGACGAACAGCCTATAAAACCGAAATAAAATGAATTGAATTGGCAAACAATCCTTCCTTTTGTATGTGATCCTCTACTACTTTCAATCAGTACATGTGTAGAAACATCTTTATATACACGTTCAGTAGTAAAGCTCATCCCGCAAATCTACCGGATCTGCGGAGGAAGGGAATAACTCCGAAATGCCCAGGAGCCAAATCGAAACTGCCCCAAACCACCATCACGAGGATATGAATAGCTCGCCTTATGTAATACGGCGGTTTTCCCAACAACGCTATATGAACACATGAACCCGAACACGCCACGTTTCCAACGGCGTCGTTCTGGGAAATACCAGAAGACAAACTGATTCTCATGCTACAATTCAACCTTTGTACTTCATCCACCAAGTAAGCTCACGATTTGTACATATGACGCTCAACGTCACGGAGCTCTCGGTT